CCCCCCCTGTCTATTCCTATTTGATTGAACATTTTATTAAACCTTTCTTAAGCAGCAATAATCATTAGAAAACAACACAAAATTTATACTTATAATTGGTTAATAAAGTTGGAATTTTCTTTTTTGCCTCAAATTTTTTGATATATTTAATTGAACAAAAAAAATATGAATGTGAAAGAAGAAGAAGAAGAAGAAGAATAAAAATGCAGAAAAAATTTTGGAGACGACAAGTTAGCAAGTTGCAAACCACTGTTTGCAAATAAGTTAGCCTAAAAAGTTTGCTCCTTAACGATATTCAACTTCATCTTTTTACTATGATCCATTGTTTTTAACCTATTCCAATAAACTAAGTAACCGGTTTTTTTTTTTTTGGCCACTGAAATCCAACTACTAATTTCAACCAAAAATTTTTTCTTTTTCCCCAAACATTACGCAGGTATTATTTGGGAACACTGAATGATATTTGAATGATGCAAATAAAAATGTGTTGGCTAATCAACATATTCAGCAAAAATACTTATTTTTAAGCATAGACTATTGCAAAAAAAAGAACACTGTTAACAGCTTACTGCAAAAATAAAAAAAAAGTGGAAAAAAAAAATGGAACGTATTTAGTAGCAAAAGAAAAAAATTGATATTCGATAAAGCAAAATTTCCTCTATGGCCACACACACAAACCGAGTTGGAATAAATTTTGAACCAAATAAACATTTGCGGTGCAAAAAAAAAAAAAAAGCATCAAAAAAATAAATATAATACTTAACAAATTTTTTTTTTCTTTCTCCCTCCCCTATTATCAAACTTTTGTTTTTCTTAAACCTAACATATGAATTCCTAAACAAATTACCATCTAATTTACCAACTACTTTTTTTTTTAAAACTATTTATCATACAGTTTCAGGTAAAAAAAAATTAAATTATTAACACAAATAATAATTTTCACTTGGTTAATACTGATTACATTTCAATACTTCACTTTCCTTAATATCTAAAAAATGAAAATGCGAATATATTGTCGCAAAAAAAAAAAAAATTGCAATCTATTCGTTTTAGACAATTTTTTACTTTTTTATATCCTAACTGTTTCCACAATACTTCCGCAACTCAATCACACTAAAATTTTGATGCTAAGGATTTCAGATTTTTCTGTAGATGACCAATATGGAAAAAGCTGCTAGACAATGTTAACACACATCAACTCTTGTCCTCCTCTTTT